TACATGAAATTTTAGAAGCAATAATTAATAGTGTTATAATTTGGTGTGATGAATTGAATGACTTATAACATTGGGATATTACATGAAATTCTATAAACGATAATAATAAAGTTCATCTTAATACACACGCGAGTTAATCCAGTTTAACACGGGTTTAAGTTAGGTTGAACTTGAAAATATGTAACTTTTTATGCGGGTTAGCTTTTAATCCGACTCGACTTACTTAAAACTCGACTCACCTGTGTTGAACCCGTAAGGAGCTGAATTGACTTACCAACCTACCTAATTTAATTTAATTATTTATTATTTTGTGTTTCAATATTATTAGTTAGATTTTTTTATTATATTGTAGATGTGATAAAAAAAATAGATGTTTCAAAAAAGAAAAATATTATAGATTTATCTATTCAATACTCTAATATTATACATGGACAAGTGATGAAAAAAATTATCAATATTAAAAACTTATTTGTTTGTTTTTTGTTTTTGTTTGTGGATTACGCTTGGATTGTATGATATTTTTATTTATTTCGAGTTGTCTTTAAAGTTTTACATCATTTTATAGTGAAATATGTTTAGATTTGAATTAAAAAAGTTATAATTTTTTATTTAAAAAAAACTTATAATTAAGTGAGTCAGTGAGCCAACCCGTTTAATCCACCAACCCATGGTGGGTCAAGCCGGGTTCGAATTTTTTCATTTCGCTAATAAGTGAGTCGGGTTGGGTTGGTTCACTAAGTGACCAACCTGTGATGAGTCAAACCGGATCGAATCAGATTACTCGTTTTGACCGCTCTTGTCACAAGTTTAATTCAATAACTTTTTTGTTTAAATATGTCAATACATGTTTAGATAGAGCTCCAATTTAATTTAAATTAATCAACATATATATGGAAGTTTTTTTTTAATTTGTTACTGTTTCGGTAAGGATTTTGTGAGACCGAGACACTAACCTTTGACTTGTGTGCTCCTCTTGAATTCTTCCAATTTAGACCGATCGGTCCTCTTTAGTGTTGGCCGCTCGGTGAACTTCAGTCTTGACCGCTCGGTCACCCTCGTGGCAAAAATGGGGGAAGATACCTGCAAAAGACACTCTGACGCTCAAGTTAAGAGTGATTTTATGAAATGTTTGATACAAGTAAATATTTAAGTCTTGATTGGAAGTAAGTAAGGCGTATTAGAGTGTGAGTTTAACTCAAACCTAAACCTTATTTTTAGAGTTTAAAGGAATCTGATCAATTAATTTACCTCTTAATGATCATTAATGCAAACCTTAACTCTCTAACGGGTAGTCGTTACCACATTTATTTGTGCATTAAGTCTACTCAACAGTTGTCAGGACCAAACGACTGAGAAGCTTTTTGGAGTCGAACGACTGAGAGACTTGTCGGGACCGAACAGCTGAGTGACTTTTTCCCGCATGCTGATCATTCAGTTCTTTGGGGTTGTATGTTGTTCAGTTCATAGCCGACCGATGGGTTAGGACGACATACGACCCTAAAAAACTGAACGATCAACATGCGGGAAAAAGTCTCTCAGTCGTTCGGTCCAGACAAGTCTCTCAGTCGTTCGGTCCTAAAAAGCTTCTCCGCCGTTAGGTCCCGACAACTATTGAGCAGAGTTAATGCACAAATAAATGTGGTAACGACTACAGTTAGACAGTTAAGTTTGCATTAATGACCATTAAGAGGTAAATTAATTGGTTAGATTCCTTTAAGCTCTGTAAATATGGTTTAGGTTTGAGGTAAACTCATATTCAACTCACACTCTAATACGCCCTATTTACGACCCTTAACTTGAGCGTCAGAGTGTCTTTTGCAGGTACCTCTCCCCTTTTTTGTCACGAGGATGACCGAGAGGTAGCGGCTAATACTAAAAAAGACCGATCGATATAAATTAAAAGAATTCAAGCAGAATACACAAGTCAAAAGTCAATGTTTCGATCTCACAAAATTCTACCGATGTGAAATTTTACTTCATTTGGATTTAAAATTTTGACTGACTCCATTACTATATATTATTTGAAACAATTTGTATGATATGATACATTTTATTAAAAGAATATATGAATAACTTCAACATATTTTACAATAAAAATAATATTATTATTTAACTTTTTTGTAAAATAGAAGTTTTATATTAAATTTTAATTATATTTTTATAAATTAAAATTTATATATTTTTTAAAATTATGTGTATGTCTACCTAATCCATTTTTTGAACTTATTATTATTTTAATATTATCATAAGTCATTGTCGGTGAATATCATGAAATGGTATACTCTTATATTTGTAATATTTTCTTTATTTCATTTTTTAAATATTGAAATGTATATATGCAGAAGTACTTAATGTGTTTTACACACCCAGTTAATTACTTATATTGTTATACAAATAAGTAAAACAATCAAAATAATTATTTTTTACAAACGTCTCATTACTTGTAATAACAAAATTTATTTACATTTTTCAGAAAAATCCCGTATTTTTCTTAGTTCTATTGCTATTTTAATTCAATTCTTATATAATCATAGTTTATTATAAGGAATCTTTGACAGTGCAATGTTCAGAAACTCAAACTAGAAGTTTCTTTCATGACAGATGTTAATTGATTTGATTTTAGTTTAATCTATTTTAATTTAATTTAATTTTAATTTTTTTAAAATAAAATAATATTTCCTCAAATTAAAACACAATTTATTATTTGAATAAATATTATACTGATATTTTTTATTAAAAATACTTTTTTAATATTATATTATTATATATTATTATTTTATGCATTGTTTGCGACTTTAATCATTAAATTTTAATATAAATATTTCTGATAATATTTATGTGAATAATAAATTTGAATCAATTAAAAAACTAAATTTATTATTTATGTAAATAATATTAATTAATTTATTTTTAAGAAAACATACATTAATAATGTATCAGTTTTAAATATTTATTTATTTTTAAATATATTTATACTTAATAAATTTTAATTATGTTATGAATTAATAATATATAAGTAATATATTAAAAAGTTATTTTTAATAAAAAGAATATAATATAACATTTATATTAATAATAAATATTGTCCTACGACTACAATACTATTTTATTATGATAAAAATAAAAATTAAATTAAAATAAAGATAATAATATTTGATATTGACATTTTCTGAATTATATGACATAAATAATATCACGTGTTATATTAGAAGTTTAACATATGATAATTATTTTTTCACAAAAAAAAAATTTAAAAATACACATATTAAGACGTGACATAAAGTTAAAATACAGTTAAAATAATAATATTTTGAAGAAAGCCTAGTTAAAATAATTTTTCAAAAAGTTAACAAACAATTAAAACTTTTTTAAATAATACATAATTAATTTAAAAAAAAAACAAATATTCCAACTAAAGTACAAATAGGATTATGTCTTTATATTTTTATTATAATATTTCTAATTTTTTATCAATTCTTTTACATAAATCTTTTAATTTATATAACTTTCAAATAATAATTAAATTTTTATAAATTTAAATTAACCTAATAAATGTATTATATTTTTAAACACCCCGTGCTTTGCACATATCCAAATCCCAGTGCAGAAAACAAATAGGAAGGATGAGGAAGAGAGCGCTTCCCTCTCCAATAATTCAAAAATTAAAATATTGTTAATAAAAAGTAATAAAAATATAATGATAATATAAATTAGTTTATATCGTATTTACAATAAAATAATAATAATTATAATAAACTTATAAAATAATTATAATAAATATAATAATAATAGATATCACAATTTCACTCAAAGATAATTTAGTAAACATCTGATATTATTTATTATAATATTCTTTTAAATATATAATATCCATAAATTATAGACAAATTTTCATCTCCAATTTATTTAAATCAGACATTTTTACTCCTAACTAAACAATTCAAACGTCACCTTCTTTTCCTTTTAAATCAACTCAAATTCATTCTTCCATGTCTATCTTCTGGTAAACTCAAATTCACTTCTCGAAATTCATGTTATGATCCAAACACAGCCTTAGTGATGGACGCATAAAAAAACTCCTAGGATTTGAGGTCTTTAAGGACAAAACATGAGGAAGAAACTCGATTGGAACTAAGTTTTTTGTGTCAACGTGAACCAAAATATTGATTATTTACAACTTATGCGAGGTAGGTTCCAAATCAAAAGCTGCTTTCGCTGGTGAAGAACAAATTGAAAAACCTGGGTATCATCGGTTTTTGTTTGCGACCAAAATGTTTGTGCAAAAGTTTGAATGAAGGTAATACTTTCCCTGTTGCTTTTGATTAGCTCTATTTTTGTTAACGAGATTATAGTTCAGCACGACTATTTTTCATTTCTTAATTCGTTAGCATTTGAATAATGAAAAAAATAACAATGTCACAAACTCATGTGTTGATGTAGTCCCCACTAGACTTGGTTTATGTTTCACTGCTGGGAAATTGGAAAAAAAAGGACAAGAAATGAAGACAAGGCTAATATTGAAATGAGGAAGTTTCAAGGCATTAGAAGACTTGACATTTGAAGCAACTTTATTATGTCGTTGTAATAAGACAACTCGCGAAGTTCTCCAAGGACACAAGCTTAGCGCAGAAACCTATGCAATCAGATTCATCACCATGCCCTTAAGTTTAAATACTACATAGTTGTTTAGAGTTGAAGAGGGTTCTGTAACCTAGCCAAACAAACAGTAAGAAAAACAAAAGCCCCTTAGGTACCCTTTCGGTTTTTTATTTTTTAGAAGAGAGAGGGAGTTATTATTTACTTTGATTAATAGAGAGTCAGTATCAGAGGCTATTTAAATTTGTCGTCTGCATTGTGTAATCCAATCAAACAAGCAACGTATCTTAACCTGTTAATCTGCTTCGTTTTGGATACATTTTTCTTTTTGCACAAGAGTCCTGTCCACAATAAGGTTGCGAAAGTGACACTAACTTATTATGTCACAAAATTATTTTTATATCTCAGTTTTAACTTTGCGCAAAGCTCAATTTATAGCAGAACTATGCATTGTGGTGATGAGGTGTTAAGCAGATTGTGCTTTATCTATCATGCGCAAGTTGCTATCTAGTACGTAGGTGAAGGTCAATTCATTGAGTAAAGCCAAATTGATGGGTTTCTCTGTCTTCTCTCAAACTTTACTTGCAAATAATTGGTTCCTGTCCCTAGTATTTTCTCCACAATGTTGGTAATATCTGCATGGGACTGGAGCCATATTATATATAATGCGGATAAGTAGATAACATTTTACTCTCTTATTTAAAGGCAGCCTAATTGGTATTATCGGCACTTGTTGATTCCCTTGGTCTCTCTCTCTCTCTCTCTCTCTCTCTCTTTTGCTAAGAGCAAAGTATTCTTTGATGGAGGGAGATCAACTGGGCTCTGGTTACTCTTTTCCACCTGGCTTCAGATTCCACCCTTCTGATGAAGAACTCATAGTTCATTACTTGCGAAACAAAATCTGTTCACGTCCACTTCCAGCATCTATTATAGCTGAGATAGATCTCTACAAGTATAACCCGTGGGAGCTACCCAGTTTGTCCTTCGCCATGCACTCACTCCTTCTGTTTACCATGGGATAAGATAAACTTCTCCGAAATGCTTTCAAAGAGAAGAAAATAAAATTAAAATTTTAAGAACTTTTCTTCATGTGTTAAACTTATGCTTAAACTAGCTTCTTCAAAAGAAAATAACTTATGCATTGGTGAAAAGCAGATTTCTGGAGAAGATGAGATGAGAAAGTTTATATTATATACTAGTTTTAGCTTATGAGATTTTTTACTTTATTTTCTTCTCTTATAAATGTTTCTGAAAAAAGTTTATTGAGAGACTTCCTAAGTTATGTTGATGAATGCAGTTGAGAAAAATGAAGCCTTTTTTTTGTTTTTGTTGTGAATTTGCAGATAAGTCTTTATTTGGAGAAGAAGAGTGGTATTTCTTTAGCCCAAGAGACAGAAAGTACCCAAATGGATTGAGACCAAACAGGGCAGCAGCCTCAGGATACTGGAAGGCAACAGGAACTGACAAGCCAATTCTTTCTTCCATTGGATCAAAGCGCATAGGAGTGAAGAAAGCTCTGGTGTTTTATTCAGGTCGACCTCCTAAGGGATCTAAGACGGATTGGATCATGAATGAGTATAGATTGATTGATACAATTACCAAATCCCCCAGGCTAAAAGGCTCCATGCGGGTAAGTATTCTTGTAAACAAACATTTTGGTTCCCTGGGAAGAAGATAACCAGTTTAGGACAACAGGATATTTATAGCAGAATTTCTTTCAAACAGGATCTTGATCCACATAAACTAGCAATTCCATTTGGTTTCATATTTCCTAGCAGTAGGTTTAAACAGACATGATTACTACTAGTAACTTACGAGTGTTTGAATAAAGAAATGCAGTATATTACAGTCTAAATAAAAACAGTATCTTGTCCAGCTAAAAGGGTCGGTCTGATGTCCCTATGAAAATGGAGATAAAAATTCCATCGTTAAAAATATCACTCCCAATTTTAAGGAGATATAAAACTATTGTAAGAATGAACAGTTCTTTAAGTTTTAACATAATTAAGTAAACTTCAACCAGTCTGCTAAAAACTCGTAACAAAGCGATTTGAACAGCATAGTAAAGTATAGTATAGATTCCATTGATGAACAGCATGAAACGGGCAACTTCTCAAAGGTACGAATTTAGAGCTCAGTTTTATGCACTTAAATTAGATTTATGGATTACTAAAATGCTAGGATTATTTTTCTACTAAGATAACTTGTGAGGTCTATTCTTTGTATTTTCAAACGTGTTTCTGAAACTACGATACCTTATTCATAGTACATGAACTTCATGCAATAATAAGCATCTGTCTTGTTGTGACAGTTGGATGACTGGGTATTATGCCGGGTTCGACATAAAGGCTACTCTTCGAAGATATCAGGTGAAAATCAAGAGAATCCTAGTGAACTAAACCTGTCTGCAAAACTACCGAGGAGTGAAGGATATCCAACAAACATGAACTGTCGGGCTGACATGATCACTGATTATCAATACAAAGACTATCAGATCATAGCCTCTATTCTTGTCGGTGCACCTGTATCTCCCACTGAAAACATGCCAAATATGAGCTTTAAGGGCTGCAAAGGCACCAATCTAGTTTCAGTTTTTGAAGATGGTTTCACTAAAGTGAATTCTCAAATGACATTTCCTTCTTTGGACAGTTACTTCAACCCTCTGACAAGAAAATCCAATGAAGATGAACAGTATGGAAATCTCATCTCTTTTAACAGGAAGTTCAACGCTGAGGACAAAATGGACGAATCACCTAGCAAGGTGTTGGCCAGTAGAGAATTGAACTGCTATAACCAAAACCAGTCTGAAGATGACATTTTCAGCGGGAACCCACCAGACACTGGCATCAATTTTCAAGAGCTTAACGATTTAGTCTTTACAGGAAGGTACCCTCAGTGATGAAAGTTCTTATTATAATTTATAAGACAGTCGACGTTCTTTCACTTCACAGGTATGACGTAGATGTAACCGGAAGGATGATAGCCCGAAATATTCAAGCGAATGATTGATCTTTTTCTTTATGCATGGCTAACATGGGGCAGTATAGAAGTTTCCATGTATTCGTGAAATTACTAGGAAACAATGTAAATAATGCCCCAGCCAATTAGCTTCTTGAGCGTGACCTGTGTCAGTTCAACTAGTACTTTATCCTACCTAGTAATCATAGCGTGTAGAAACATTTGTATCTATCCAACCTACAGGAGTTGCTTCTTATTTAAAAGTCTCATGTAAGTAACAAGAACATCTACAAGTTGCTGCGTATTGGCGTACTGTAATACCTTCTCAGGAGTTTTTATTTTACTTTTAAATGACTTGTATCATTTCACATCACTTGTAATTTGTTCTGCATGTTTTAATCGAAAGGTCAAATTTTATAAATTTACAATTTTTATTACTTTTTAATTTTACTTTAATTTTTACCACTCCAAAAATTAATTTAATTATTATAATTAATTTTTGTTATGAAGACCTCTTTATTATACATGCTCTGAGCCTATTTATTATACTTTAGCGTCGAACCAGCATAAAAGTTTATATGCATTCAGAAAATTTTGCAGTTCACTTTGAACCATTTGTTTCCGTCACTGATTTAACATAAATGGTAATTGAGGTCATATTTAATAACAAAAGTTGTTTTGTGAGAGGTTATGTAACAATGGCGTTAGAAGACAGGTGTGCCCCAAACATCAATCTTCTAACTTAGTATGCAGAGAGTTACATGCCAAGAGAAACAGTAGGCAAGACTTATAGAAAAGAGCGATGATATATTAAAGTGGCCATTAATACATCAAAGAATTACAAAGCACATTGGTAAAGTGTATGTTGCCATTCTCCAGCAGCTGAACCATGATGTAGTGTTTGAAATTTACAGTGACAGCCCTCAGATAGCACAAGGATGCAATACCATGTTACAACCGGATACCAGTACAACAAGGGAAATGATTCAAGATCAAGTCACCTCAGAGCACTGAAATAAAGAGAAGATGTTGTATTAGCCAGCAGACGAGGGAGTACAGAATTAGCATAAATAAAGAAATTAATAAACACTTTTGCTTAGTTTTGTTATGATGAAAACAATCGCAGCTTACTTGTATAAATACATAACGATTCCAAGAAGAACACAGAGTAGAATGATGTCGATGACAAAGTTTCGACTAGACCTTATCTGGAGAGGAAACAAAAGATTGCAAATCAATTGAAACTTGCAATTTGAAAGTTTTCACAGAAAGGAGAGTGCAATTAATCATGTCAGTTACCTCGTTAAGAGTTTTCTTCAGCTTCACGTTAGTGTTTCTCAGTTCAGCTGTTGTCTTATCCACCTGTGTAATCAGACCACGCAATTCATATGCATTCATGACAATATTATTCAGTGAAATCTACCTATCTATCTATCTGAACAGAGAAAAGCATGACTGAAGAAATATCTGTTTTACCTTTTTGTCAATTTCGTCCATTAGTGGAACTTGCCGATCCAATTCCTGAACATAGTTGGGGGAATATGAGAAAAAGATTACCTTCTTAAAAAACCCAACATCTTTCAACAAAATTCCCAAACAGAGATAGATGCATAACAGAACAAACCTCATTCATATCTTGGGCCAGTTCCTTCAAGGTATCCAATCCCTCCGATATGATATCAAGTCCTTCATCCTGTACAAATAAAAAATTGACTCATCAAGACTATACATAGATCAGTCTGTGGAAAATACCATAAAATGACGATAAACGCAGGCAGTTCCTGATTTAACGATTAACGTAGACAAGAAGGTAATTGGAATACTGAAGAAATCTTGCAAACCTGTTTCTTCCTGCGCATCTCATACTCTTGTCGGAACTGACTGGATTCTTCACTTTGTTGGAAATATTCAGTATCATGTTGTCCCTCTGAGGTTGTGAATGAAAGAGACGATCATAATTAACAATTAATTCAGATGCTGCTGATGGTAAATGCGTTTAATACTAGTAATGCGGATCACCTGAGTCAAACTTGACATATGGCTGTGATGAGTCAGCAGTCCATCCTGCAGTTTGAATAGAAGCACCAGAAATACCATCAGGTATTGCTTGGATTCTCTCGGGCAATGCCAGAACAAGATCCTGACGAATGGCCATATCCTCTTTTGTGAGACCTTTAACCTGTTAATGTTACCATTAGATTTTAAATGCAACCAAAGCCTTGCTTCCATTATTACAAGTTGAAGATAGCATAGACCCAAGGCACAAAGCAAACTGAAGCATATCTTCCCTATTCTGAAAATATATCTGAATAGCAGTTATTTTATTTTCATTCATCGATTTCTCGCTGAAACGTATACACCAATAGAAGGTGGGCCATTAAGCACATTTGAAAGATTTCAGAAAGACAATATCTTGATCCAGCCTACCCTCAACCAGTGACAAAGGGACTGTAGTGATAGCAAAACTAAAGAATGGAACTTATTTTTTAAGCTTGTTCAACCAGACAAATTATTCAAATTGATGATCAGAATCATCTGCATCTCATCCATATCTTCATCCTTCTGAAGATTTTTATGTAAAAGTCATTCCTTCTTTCTTTATTTGGTGTACAATAACTAAATGAAGATTTTTATTAAACTACTCAAATCTCCCACCACTGGGCCAATTAGGTTGGCCATTCCTTCTAAGGCCATAAAAAACATTAAAAAAAGAAATGTCAATACGGTATTTTTTGTTTAAACAAAGTTGGAATGGATTTTCTGTCTGTTAATAATATTTTACCCTGGCATGTTCCACAATCACCTCCCCTGTTGACATGCTGATAGAAAAACAAGTCCTTTGTTGTAGCATACATTAAATGTAAATAAAAGTGCACTTAATAAAGGGGAAAACGGTGAAGAAACAAAACAGAGAAACGTTAGAGGTGATGAATAGGTTGAGAAAGAAGGTTGGTGGACCTTCTTATGCAGTAATTTGCGCAGTCTAGGAATCTCGTCCATGAGTCTACCCTTTGTCCGACGAACCTCCGCATTCAAAGCCGCAGCAACTGCCCTGTTGGTCTCCGTGGAAGCAGCCTCCGATTTCTGCATCGAAGCAAAGAGGGAGATGCAGTGAATTTCGAAGAAAAGCAACGCGGAAAGATATGAAAAGGGAAGGGAAGAGAAGGGAACGTTGAGAGCGGTCTGAATGCTGGATTCGACAGCTGCATAGAGGCGAGCAAAGGCGTCGTCGCCATAGGCGTTTTGCTCGCGCTGCTTGTCGATGTCGTATTTGTCATATTTGTGACAAATGGTATCGACGCGGAAGAGAATGTCGATGACAGACATTGTTGCCGTTGCTGTGGATTCTCCTCAGGTTGATTCTCTGCGGGGGAAACTCTGCAAAATAAGGAGTGGCAATGGATACGGTGACAGAATGGGGAGAGAGAAAGTTGTTGAAGTTCTTCTTTTTTGTTACTCTCCACTCTTCCATCTCAAACGCAAACCAGCCGTTCAACGCACAATTCGCTTCCACAACCCTTCTCCACGCATTACCATTGCCAATGCATGCATGTCTTTCCCTTACCTTTTTCGCCTCATTATAGTTACCGTTACCTTTTTATTAATAAATGCTTTAACTGTTAATCAAGTTAGTTAATTCAAAACTCAATTTTTCTTTTTCTTTTTTTATAAATTTTACCAAGAAAAATAATGTATATGAAGGTTCTTTTGTTGTTTGGTTGTTTTAGGAATGTATTTCCATGAAAAATGATTTTTAGAATAAAAGTAAGAGAAAGAAATAACCAAGGATAATATTAAAAGAAAATGAAACAATACTTTGTAAATAAAAAATTTAAATTTCTTATTTTTCTATCATGTTCAATCAGAAATTGGATCTTTTCTCTTCGTTTTCAACCATGAATGGCCTCCCATCGTGTTCACAAGTGCACAAGGCGGCGACCCAAACAAAGGAAGCTGTCTATATTAGTTTTAAAGATTATTTTTTAATTTTAGCCTTCTATAAGTGAGAAATAAGATTTATATCACATAAAGTAAATAAAAGTAAATACGCAAATCTTATAATAGAAACACCCAAAAAATCGATAAAAATATATTTTAGTTGAAGTATATATATCTCTGTGTAATTTTGTAATAGTTTTAGAAACTAAACAGTTTCTTTTAATAAATCTCATATTAGATTAATTTTAGATTTTTGTATTATTTTTTAGTTGTTTTAATAATTATTTTAAAATATAGTATAATTTTAATATTAGAAAAATACTGATTTTCACCCCAATTAAGAAAAAACATCTCCATTGTGTTGGGTTAGATTGAATCTTCTGGAAATCAACTCTAAAAGATCTCTATCCGTGTGTAACAATGTGACAAACATCTATGTCTTTATAAATATGGATTTTTTCACCAAAAAACCTAGTTTCTTGTAAAAATTGAGAAAGACAATTGGATTGGACCATCAAACACCGAGCACATTCTAGAATGAAGGTAGAAATGATCAGACTCCACCTGTTTAATTTCAAAATCGCTCATTTGATTCAGTTTAACGATGTGTTCTGAAAACCATTCCTGCAGAAAAATATCTCAATTCGATTTCGGACTAGAAAATAAAAACAAAGCTAATGTTGATAACAAGCAAACTAATTGATATACGTGATCAGATAAAGAAACAACATAGATTGAAATTTAAAA